ATATATATATATATATATATATATATAAATTTCCCCATGTTTTGTATTTTTAATAGTCTGCAGTCTGTTATGGGACTGTGCTCTTTGGATGAATACATGGAGTGAGTAAAATTTACCATGTAACTTTTAAGCTTTGTTTTCATACAAGGAAGGTCAAGTCTCCCATTTTTGAAGGGCATCTAAATTCAGGTTACACATGGCCATGAACTGCAAAGGTGCCCTACAGCATAGAGAAGTGATTTATTTTTATAGAGTACCTCTTATGCAATACCAGAAATTGAATTGATTTGTGCAGTCAGAAAGATCGGTTTCTATATTCAAAGCTGCAATCATTATATATACAACTGTATACCAAGCTAATGTAACAATATCAGCAACAACAACAAAAAATAGTAATTCACAGGCACATTACCTTGTAGTATTAAAGAGAAACATGTGGTTGAAAAATACTTATTCTTAAGGGGACATAAGTTAAAGATTTTCATTGATGTGGTCCTTTATAAGTTGAAGAGATCTACACATTAACTAATAAGATTTGAGTTCAAAACAGCTAGTTAATGAAAATCTTGTCTTAAAGTGAAACTTATTTATTTGTAAAGAAAAATTATAACTACTACATGCAAACTTATATGAATTAGGTAAAGAACCCCTGAGAACTCCAGAAAAATTTTCTGAGGAAATTAAAAAACAAGTAAAATGTAAACCTTTAAATAGACATATTCAAGCTGAGGTATGAGGAAGCAATAAAAATATTGGGCGTGTGTGTGTGTCAGAGTGAGAGAGACAGGGAGAGGGCAGTAGAAAAAAAAACAGAAAGTAGAAATGAAATAAAGATTCCATTCTTATATAAAGGGAGAGAAGTTAAAATAATTAGGGGGAAAAAAAGCAGAAGAGGCTATTTTTTCATTAAGAAGTACAAAGAACACAAGAGTAACACTGTTTCTAAGGCGTACCTTATGATCCTTAGGTAGCTTTCAAACGGGTCTCTATCTGGATCAAGCCAGGTGGGAATTTTAGACCTAAGCCTGTGAGGCTCCTCCCATCTGCCCATGGAGCCCGCCCTGTGACAAACCTGCACCGTTTCATCACTAGGCTCTGGCCTCTTGCCACAGTTGACAGCATGACACTGAGGTCAGAGCCAGTGGGGTGCCTTCTGCACTGCACTCTAGGACTGTCCAAACTGGGCCTGTATAACTTCTAACTTCCAGCTCTAGGATTCCAGAAATAGTGACGGGGTCCCAGTCTCAAACTATATTTAAATTCATGTTTGTATGAGTAAGTAGAAACCTACTAATATTTTAACCCCTAAAAAATCAACAGCAAACAATTTACAGAATCTTTATTGCAAACAGAGGTCATTAATAGTTATTACAAATTGAATTAACTGAAACTCAAGTTAGCGATCTGAAACAGATTTATAGGTTTATTTTGTATGGCATAATNCAGCCCCAGGGCCACCTGGGAGGGGATCTGATACAGGTCAAGTCAGCCGCAGCCAGTGCCCCACCTGGGACCACCCAAAGGACCCACAAAGAAATCCGCAGATGGCCACCGCTTGGGCAGTGCTTGAAAAGTCTGGAGCATGAACCAAAGCAGGCAGTTTGTATGAAAAAGCCACTGGAAGCAGCTTTGGTATGCCCAAAAGTTAGGTGGGGCAGGTTCTCAAATTACCAGGGCAAGGCCAATGAACAGCATCAGCTTGATGGAGACTCAGGTATGGGAGCCGCCTGCATCTGCACGCAAGGAAGGGGGAGGGCTTAACAAAGAAACAATGGCTTCTACCAGCTCCTCTATCCAAGAGAAAGCTGCCCCTCCAGCCCGTCCTGAAGCCAGACAACTCAGTTCCCCACTGTATGTCCCTGCCGCCTCTCCAGCTGCTGCCCCAGCGCTGGAGCTCAGAGCCAGTGATTCCCTTGGTAAGTCCATGCACAGTCCCTTTCAAAGGAGCACCTGGGACTCTAGCCGCCCTCTGTCTCATTTGGTCACAATCTCCGCTGGTTTTTACAGCCAGAAATTATGGGGCATCCTCTCCCTAGTCCTGGAACCCTGGGCTGGGACCCCTGACTCTGCAGCCGAGCTATCCCTCCTAATTTTTAATGGTCACACACAGGTGTGGGACCAGGCTGTTTTGCGTCTCTGGCCCTCCTACCAGTCTCAGATGGCTTCTTCTGTATATCCTTAGTTGTAGGGCTTCAAATTCAGTTCAGCAGGATTTTAGGCAATTCTCAAGGATGGTTGTTTTGCAGATTAGTTGTAATTTTGATGTGGTCATGAGAGAAGGTAAGCACAGCATTTACCTACTGCACCATCTTGACCCGAAATCCACCATTGTGTATTTTCAAAGCTGATAAGTTATTGCTAGATTTTGTGTTCTGGCAAAATAATCTAATTGAGTTTTGATCTGCCTTTGTATTTCACTTGGTCCCAGAGAATAACCAGGAGGTCCATTTGGCACTGAGAATAAAGGTTGAGGATGAGGTGCCAGCCATAGCAGTTTTTTAAATTTGTGTTCCCATATGACTCTCTAAGGAAGCCCTGCATTTTTACATTTCCTTCTGCTCTGTTCTCACATGTAGTCTGTGTCTTGAACCAACTACTATATAACAGATCAGGTTGGTTCAGTTCCAGAAAGGTTTTTTCCTTGCTTACTGTCTGCAAAGTACTTACATGAGACTGATTATGCAGAGAGATGACTTAATGGAAATGGCTGTACATCTATGTTATCATATGTTCACTTCAGCTGTACAGACTAAGCAAGTGATCATTAGGATCACAACTCAATCAAAACATCATGAGCAAAGGCACTTGGTGCTGATGACAAATATGGCATAGAATCCTTG